TGATTCGATCATTCATTGACGACTTTTATGAATTTGCCGCTCAGTTGCGGTCAACTTCTATGTAAATCAACGTTTTAATGTGGTTTCATGTAGCGTTGTAATTTTATTCATGCCTGTTGTAAAAATTGTGCAGCTTGATACTGCTGTAAAGTTTATATTTGATGTTATATGCTAGCTGAACACTTGTTTTGACTTGAACCAGATAGCTTGTTTTAGACTGCTGTTCAATGGAAGTTGAAAGCTGCCTTTTTCTTTCTTATCCTCAACGTCACGCTGGTTCCAAAGTTTCCAATCGATTATGCCCTATGTACGTATTCTGAACGTTTATTTACTAGGCAGTGCTTGTAGCATTCATTTGGTCACTTCAGCCCCGGACATGAATTTTTACTGGCGCTTCATTTACATCGTTTTTTGTCTGTTCCTGATACGTACGCGCTACTACTACGCATGGCTGATGGGTGAGCATTCGTAGAAAGGAGGAGCCGTTCAGTTCATTCGTTCGTTCATTAATCTGATCGTTTTAGCGGACGCGATTTCCAACGCAAGCGGTTTCGGCTTTTCAGGCAAATGCGAAGGTGGAAAACCATTGGCTGAGCCAAACTGGGACTATCTTTCAAACGTTCACGTGATCAAATTCGAAGTACGATCGAAGGATTTTTTATCTCGTTTCGTCTCTTCGTTTTAGAGAATGTATAAGCGAAACGCGTAGCGGTCAAAGGACCGCTAGGTAGTCTCTGTATTAAACCCTATAATCCGACCACTAATCATTTGAAACGGAAAAATCAGTTTCTCTAAGATTTGTAAGAGTGGGAGTAACCCGAGAGGTTTGCCTTGTGCAGCTGAATAAAGTTTAGTTTCATTTGGGAAGATCACAGCGTTGCCACTCTAGTACAGTTACGACATTGGAACTGGAACTCCTTTAGTTTCTGCATCACATCTGTCTTTGCTTGACAGACGCTATTTACCGATCACTAGGCGCGACAGATATCTTCCATGTCTAAAATTATTTTCACTCTTTCACTTTGGATATGAGTTTAATGAAAGCAGCATCAAACAAAGTTTATTTATAAACAAAGCAAGTAATTCAGTCATTAGATGATTGACCAATACCAACGCTTCGCCTTGTCGTGCCCGCATTTTCTTCACGGTAAAGAGACCGGTTTGCTTCGGAAGTTGGTTTTTTCGTTTGCAGATGTTCTTAAGTTTGAAGCCTGAAGGCTGACGACAACGAATATGTGCTGCGAGCGATTGTATGCTTAAAACTTAACGTAAATCACCGTTTTACATGATAAAACTACGAGTTTCATGACTAAGTAAAATAGCATGTTTTGCACATTTCCTGATCGTGTGAGCGACCCAAGCGACGTAAGGACTGAAATAGATTTTTTGTAAATGATTACTTTCCATAATTAATATGTCTTTCATTTGACGACAATCATCTACCCTGACTGAGAAAATCTTGTGTCGTATACGGAATGCACTTGGTTGAGCGTGTTAACTATACAGCATGCATAATAAATGTAGATTTTGAATATGTTATAATGCGCATAATTCCTCCGGACCGGGTTTCGTGGCAGCATAGAGAGTCCACTCTTCTAGATTCTTAAGGAAGATATCACCAAAGTAGTGCTTTAGCGAATAAAGTGATAGTGCTGAAATGCTCTTGCGTGATTGACCTGTGTAAACGGCTCCCTAAACATCCAGAAACAGTAGAAATCTCAGTTGAAATGAATGCCTAATCTCCATTTGAGATCTGTTGTCGATTAGGAATCTTTCCATCGTCCAGACAACAAACCTTTCATGTTCCAAAAATTCGAAATGTTGAGATGAGCGGACATCCCGAATCTTAGGTAGTCTGTAGCTTTGTAAAACGGCTAGAGATTATTATAATGAAAACTGTCCTTAAAATATGTCGCTGTATTTACTATTAAAATAAGAATGGAATCTTTATCTAAATTTTATCTATATTACTTATCCCACCATTATCTATCTCTATCTAAAACTTGTTGTAAATTCGTTTGTTTGTGAGTTGTCACTGCAGTACAATTAAGCATTCATAAGCATGCAACACAGCGTAATGCAGCAAGTCAGTAATCCTCTAGCGAACATTTCTGCCCGGAACTCAACAGATATTAATCATTGTATCTCTCTCCGTGGCAGCCATATGTGTCACTCAGTCGACTATCCAAAGCCATGAGCTAGATCAGTCATGGTCGAGAACGTTCACTGATTACCACGGCGGCACGTGTCTATGTAAAGCACGCTAGCTGCTGACAGAAGTGTTGGAAATATGATTTCACCGTCTGATAGGCAAGTCTACAATAATGCGTTGTGCTCATTGAACGGTTTCTTTCGTTTTGCTGTATTTGTAGGAAAGAACTTAAAAGTTACACTTTCTTCTTCT